CCCGCACCCCCGCCCACCCTGAGTCAAAGTCCCTTTGAGGACATTATAGGTTTACCTGTGCAGACCAGCAGCCCTCCTCTCCCCCCTGGCTCGGCACGCCTTGAAACTTTACACCGGCGCGTTTGCCCCCCCTGGGGAGCGGGCGGCAGTAGCGGCGTGGCCGAGACGTGGCTAGCCCATCGTGGGTGAACAGTGCGGCGAGGATAGCGGTGGGGGAATCATCTCTCCCCACTTTCCCCATGTGGCACTCCCCCATGTGGCACTCGGAGGCCTGTTGTCGGGCCCATACGGTGCACGGCGCGCCACCTAACGCGCCCTTGAACCGCCTTGGACGTGCCCAGTCGCCCTTGAAGATGGGCAGTTTGTTCGACAAACCTCCTGTGTGTATTGTGCAGTCTACCTTATCATCTTGACTTTAACCAAGAGAGACCGGGGCATACCCGGCATCGCAGCGGGAAAAGGTGGCATGTTGTCAGTAGCGGCGGCGTGCCGGCTTGGACCGGAGGGGTGACTGCGGGTACCGGCGCGTAACAGCCGCTTACCCTCCTTTTTGCTCTCCCATGCGCGCTCCTAAGGGAGGACCTTGGTCAGAGGACACAGCTGGCCGCCTCACTCGCACCCGGCGCCTCCCTGCGCGGCATCCTCGTGAGCGCCCCCTCCTCCCCTCCCCCCACCCTCCGCCCGTGTCGGCCTGCTGTCATCCCCAGCCTCCTACCCCTGTAGGGCTGGGGGGAATGTGACGGAAGAGGGAGGGGAGTAGGAAGGGGGCGTTCCAAACTCATCAGCCGGCCCCGTACCCCTCCCTCCTCCCCCCGTCCTCGTCGCCTTCCTGGCCGCGGGGCGGGGCGCGGGGCGCTGGGGTGTGTTTGGGGGTTTGTTTAAATTTGTTTGACGGCTTGTTGCTCCTGGCTTGGGTGACTACCTCCTCTCACCCGGCCGGTCCCGGTGGGGATGGGGGGTCCAGGGCGAGGGGACAGACAGTGTGGGAGAGCGGAGGAGAGAGAGAAAGTCCATGTCTCGTGAGCGGCAGGCGCGGCCGGCGGGCGGCCCTAATTCCGGCCGATTCCATCTCGGGTATTGAGCCGCGGCGTACGCTGCTCGGCGCACACAGTCGTAAATGTTTACTCTGGCGACACGAGCGGCCTTCCGCCGTGCCATACCATGCAGATGAGCGGGGCGGGGGTGGGGTGCCCACCATCAGGCCCGGACACCATCGTCATCGTGCCGCCAGTATTATTGCAAGTATTACTGCCGAGAGGGTGCCGTTATTTCACGTAATATTTGGACTCGGGTGAGCTGTTCGGATCTCGGCTGCCCCCCCCCTCCCTCTCCCCGCCCGCCTCGTCGCTCTGCTGCCGGGCCGCCCAGCCCCAGCTTCGCTCGGCCCGGCGCCGCCCGGCTGGCAGCGGCGCCTGCGGACCCCGAGATAGGCAACCCATTCAGCGCGAAACACGCGAAAGGGGGAGGGCGGAGGGAGCGAGTGTGAGAGAGACGGATGTATATGTATACTTAGTCGCGTTGTGTCGTGATCGAGAGAGAGAGGGGAGGAGGGGTGCGATGACAAGGGAGCAGGACGCCCCCCGCTCCCCTCTCTCCCTGCTCGCTTGTCCGCGACTCGTCTCTCTGCTTTGGGCGTGCGACGTCGTTCGCCTCGCCCGCTCGCGCGCGAATTGAAAACAAATTGACGCGGGGCAAACGCGCGCGAGGCGCACGACGGCCCGGCCATAGAGGAGCCGCGGGGGGGATCAGCCGTGATTCAGCGGGCAGTAAAGGCCGTGCGCGCGACTTTTACAGCCCCGACACGAATTTATCATCGGCTCCCGCACTCGTT